GCACAACACCATGTGAATGACCCGTCGTACAGCTAGCTCAGTCCCAAAAGCATTGCCATATATATTATCTATTGATTAAAACGACCCACTAGTAAGCCAATCGTTAATGTTAGATTATGTGAAAGTTAATGTACGCCTTCCCCATTCACCTAGGGCCAATCCTTAAAAATCGATTTCAATTAATTCCTGAAATGAAGACGGAACTCAAAGCAGGTTCCTACGATGGCTGACTTTTTTCAGTAGAAGTTTCGGATTTGGATGTCGTAGATTTCATCAGTGTAAATTACAAATGCATAGATGTATTTATTCCTCAAAAACATTTGAAATTTGAAGAGAATGAAAGTCTTTTTACATATATTTAGATTTGATTGTAAAACAAAACCACAAGGGTTTCTTACTTGTTTTAATAATTCTCTTTAATTAAAAATTAATCAGTTTACACTGAGCTTGTTCATGTCTGCAAGACATCCATGACCCACGAACAAAATTTACTAATTAGTGGGCAGAGTTTAGGAGGCTTGACCACAACACCAGCTTATTTAGACAACGTGATTCATAGTCCAGTAAAATATCACCTTAACCGTTGCATAGACTTAGTAGTCAACCATTGGTTCTATATATTATGTAAACATCATTATATCGATGTTGCGTCGCATGAAAGTTGGGATTTACGGAGAAAATCAAGTTTTTAAAGGCTGATTTTGCCTACTTACCGTCGTGAATTGTTTACATCGAGAAATGACGTCACGAGACAAATTTTATGATACGACGCTGTTGCAGTTGACCTTCGTTTTAAAAAGAAATGTATAAATGTACAAATATGGTAATTAGTATCTGTATTATAATATATTATGTATCACATATACAAAAAGTTGTTTTGATATTAAAAAAACTCAAAAAAATATAAGAAACAAAGAAAGTTGTGATTTTTTACATGTCGTTTGAAGTGAGCCACCAAACAGTTTGATGAACGTATAAATCCACTCGTCGGCGTCTTCCTTTGTTGTTTCACCCGTAAAAGGTGGCGGCCTAAAACTGTTATTTGCCATGACTAGGACTAGTATTATGAGTATAAATAGTGTTATCACCTGCCCGGGTCTTCCACCATAATTATGTCACGAAGCCTTCCTCTCGGCTCCGTCCGGGATCACACCATAACATCAATATTGTTCCCTTCACACTTTCCATTGCAGTAGTGAATTCGCATGTTACGCACGGTGTGCACTTAAAAGAAACTTGATTTCAAAAATCTAAAATTTGTAAGACGACCCCTGTTTTCCGATCGTAATTTGCTATTTCAAGCCTCGTATTATACGCGAGTATATACGGTATATTTTATGACACACTCGATTCCTGTGATTATATTTGTTCTCTTCATCGACTTTCAAGCTACTCTGCACAATGGCTAGAATGTAAATTGTTCGTGCACCAACACGTTATAATTCATGTGCATTCAGGTGTACTTTATATTGAACTCATGTTGGTACAATGGTCACAATTCTTATTAGTGTTCAGACTGTCTTGAAACAGTAGGTGTGGAGTATTGACCAATTAGTTACATTATATAAGTACATATATGTTGAAGCTTGCGGTACAACACGTAGGTAGTTCTGAAAAGAACTGTTGTAGTTGAGAAAGTCTCGATGTTTCGATTCAGTTGCTTCAATCATGGTAGTTCTCATCTGGTCATGGTACTTCTCATCCCCCCCCCTTCTCCCTTTCCCGCCACTCTGGAACTATGCCTTTGTTTTGGTCGTTCCCACCCCCTTTCCTGTCCTGGAACCATGCCTTTGTTTGGGGGTTCTCACCCCTTTGTCTCCGTGAACAATGGCTTTTGTTTCAGCCTTTCACTAGCAGTCTTCTCATTGGTCAGTTTATCCATCCAATTACCATCCAGCCCCTCTACCCAAACATATAAGTATTTCTCTGTTTGGAGTTTCTGCAGATATTATTCTCCTGAAGACGATTGAAGCAACTCAATCGAAACGTCGAGACTTCTCAACTAGGCCTACAACAGTTCTTTTCAGAAATACCTACCGGTACGTGGTGTACCGGAAGCTTCAACATATATGTTATTACTTCGCCATACAAACCTTCAAACAATTATATAAGTAATAGAACGAACGCACAACTTTGATAAACAGAGGTTTTTGCAAGCAGGAAATTTCATTGCAGTTTTACAGACTACAAATCTGTATACGTCACACATTGATGTGTTAACATAAGAAGTAATTGTAAGAAATACGATAGAAAACTTCAACCGCTATGTTTAGACAGAATTCAACAATTTTACTTCTAGCAGTGCTGTTTATATCAGGTAATGTATCACAGTTTATCAAATCATGCATGTAGTCGTTGCTGCTACCTGGTGCATTAACGAATAATCACCGGCGGCGAACGATAATCCACCAATTGATTTTGAACCCAGAACAGGATTTGACGAATCACAAAGGACACATTGAAGAACATTATAATTCTTTTTTAAATGGTACCGGTATTTTCTATGTTGAATTTGGGTTTGAACCGTGTATAAAGAGATTATTATTATATTTATTATTATTATTATTATTATTATTATTATTATTATTATTATTAGGGGCCTATTATTATTATTATTATTATTGTTATAGCACAGATATAAAATGCGCAATTCTACATTTCGCTTGAATAATTTTAATTTTAATTGCGTTTTGAGCACTGTCAGCATCTCGCTGTTACGAAACGGATTCATTGGCATAACACCTATGAGCTCTCACGACTGGCTAAAGCCAGAGGCACTATAGCTTAAGGGTCCCTGAATATTCATTAATACATCATTCTAATTTGTTTTCGTCAACTTGTATATAATAATCCAATGTTGGTAAATATACAAGACATTATTGAAAAACAATGTATTTGGTTCCAAGGTATTTTGCATGTTGTACATTTTAAGTAAATAAAAAAGAAATAATAACTTTGTGCCCCATAATTGGCCTTTATAAGGAGTAGAACGTATAAAAAAGCAACAAAATACACCCTTAAAACGTCAACACCGCCCAAGAGGGCAAAATATTTTCCTGTTCACCAAGACCCAGTTCCCAGCATATTAAGGCTCAAACAAGCTACTTTCAAGCTACTGCACAATGCTAGAATGTAAATTGTTTGTGCACCAACACGTTATAATTCATGTGCATCCATGTGTACTTTACTGTATCAGGGAACAGTCACCTGACTGTATATTGTACTCAGGTTGGTACAATGGTCACAATTCCTATTAGTGTTCAGACTCAGTTTTGGTACAATAGGTGTGGAGTATTGAACAATTAGTTACATTATAAATAACAGAACGAACGCACAACTTTGATAAACAGAGGTTTTTGCAAGCAGGGAATTTCATTGCAGTTTTACAGAATACAAATCTGTATACGCCACACATTGGTGTGTTAACAGAAGAAGCTATTGTAAGAAATACGATAGAAAAAATTAGCCGCTATGTTTAGACAGAATTCAACGATTTTACTTCTAGCAGTGTTGATTATATCAGGTACGGTAATGTATCACAGTTTATCAGATCATGCATGTAATCGCTGCTGCTACCTGGTGCATTAACGAATAATCACCGGCGCCGAACGATAATCCACCAACTGATTTTGAACCCAGAACAGGATTTGACGAATCGGAAAGGACTCAAGAAGAACATTATAATTCTTTATAATGCTTTTTAAATGGTATTTTCTATGTTTAATTTGGGTTTCAACCGTGTATAAAGAGATTATTATTATATTTATTATTATTATTATTATTATTAGGGGATTATTATTATTATTATTATTATTATTATTATTTATTATTATTATCATTATTATTATTAGGGGCCTTTTATTATTATTATTATTATTATTATTATTATTATTAATGTTATAGTACAGATATAAAATGCGCAATTCTACATTGAATAATTTTAATTTTAATTGCGTTTTGAGCACTGTCAACATCTCGCTGCTACGAAAGGGATTCATTGACATAACACCTATTATATGAGCTCTCACCACTGGCTAAAGCCAGGGGCCCTTTAGCTTAAGGGCCCTGAATATTCATTAATACATCATTTTAATTTGTTTTTGTCAACTTGTATATAATAATATAATAATCCAATGTTGGTAAATAGACAGGACTTTATAGAAAAACAATGTATTTGGTTCAAAGGTATTTTGCATCTACATTACAAGTAAATAAAAAAAATAATAATAAGTTTGTGCCCCATAATTGGCCTTTATAACACCGCCGAAGAGGGCAAAACATTTTTCCTGTTCACCACTTGGCTTTACCAAGACCCAGTCCAGGCGTTAGAAGTTACTCCTGGTTTTTGTATCTTAGTCTGAACGTACCTTAGTTGAATCACTGGTAGACGGATCTTCTGTACACAAATTATTATTCTTTACAGAGTTGTTTATTTTCATTGATAATTACATAGTGTCTAAAGTAAAGATAAATAAGTTGAATTTAAATACAGTATACATGTTTATTTTAAGGTTTATTGACTAAATAAAGAACAGATTTGCTTGTTTTGTATACCACAAGATAATACAATTTAATGTTTCGGGGGATCAATTCAAAGAACAGATTTGCTTGTTTTGTATACCACAAGATAATACAATTTAATGTTTCGGGGGAAATGCTATAAATATAATGTTTAAAAATGATAAGCACTTAAAACTGTATCCATTTGAAAATATCATTCTGAATTTACATATAACTGTGTTTTGTAACATTCCTGTAACTTTATATGTGCTTCGACTTCAAGTTGCAGTAGTCCTTTAAAACATTTTTTTTAGTGATACTAAATCTAAATTTTAGATTATCTGAACTGTAATATTAATTGTAAGTGTTAAGTCCTTTGACAAAATATTTGTGGTGCAATGATGCAACATTAGAATCACATATTATCAGCAGAAAACGCAAAATATTGACATTACAATTTTTAATAAGGTGGACTGACCATTAGTGTATTATTTGTCCTGCATTTTATTATTACTTTACATTAAATTTACATTCTGATTTGTTTTCTCTGGTTGTTAGCCTGTTAGTGGTTTTCTCTATTCTTTTCTAGAGCTTTTCACCGAGTCTTGATATTTTCAGTCAAGAGGACAGGTTGCTTGCAGTACTGAGCTTTAGTTATTTTCTTTTTTATTTCAAACTCTTTGCTTCTTCCCATGTTTCTTTCCATCAGCGCTACCTTCCGCCTTCTGTTTCATTCATTATTCATTTGTCATTTTTTTTATATCAATTATTCTTGTAGTGAATAGGGGCAAACCCAATATCGACCAAACACTGTAGCTACGTTAAAGTAAAAATTATATTTTCTTGTGTCACAGTAAATGGTGTCTTCGTTTCACACAACAATGAGTCTCTCGTAACAGAAATAATTCTACAGAAACTTCGAGAGCCGACAAGTCGACCTGTACTAGATGCGGATTCGATAGTCAATGTAACAGTATCCTTTGTATTAACTCACATTATTGAGTTGGTAAGTTAAATGTTTACTTACGTACACTTTTCAGCTTTTGCTTATCCAAGTTGTATCTCTTCCGAGATCCAGCCATAGTTTCCAAAAGCTTTGTTTTCAGTATTTTGTGTGGCTATATATA